TATAAGACAAAAACTGCATTTGACCCCTATGTTCTATTTTTAACAATGGCGGCCATGTTTGTCGATGGATCAAAACTTCGGAAACAATTTATAAACTAGATACCCTAAGGAACATTTAGTTAAAGTTTGAAGGTATTTGGCCCAGTAGTTTCAGAGGAGAAGATTTTTTTAATAGTTTACGACGACAGACGACGACGACGACAGACGACGGACGCCAAGTGATGGCATAAGCTCACATGGGGCCCTTCGGGCCCCGGTGAGCTAAAAAGGAATAAGAGGCCACATAACCTAAAAATAGATGACTCATTGTTGAGATGTAAATAACATTGCTGAAAGGATTTTCCCAAGAATTCAACAAAATTCTAGGAGAGGAATAAAAGAGTAATAGTGGAAATAGACGTTTAAACAAATAATATGCTAGAACATACACAACTTCTCTTTTTCAAGTCAATATTAGTGAAAATACTACGAAAAATATTCGGTTAAGTTTTTTGAAGTAGTACGCAAGGTTGGGCGGTAAATACCGCCCCTGGTATTTACCAGCGGTATTTACCGCCCCGGACAATACTCCTCAAGTGGTCAATACTGTCACAGGACAAAAAGTCACAGGACATAAAGTCACAAATTTGATAGGACAAAAAGTCACAGGACAAAAAGTCACAAATAGTTTGTTGACAATTGTTTGAATATATACATGATATAAGAGAAAGATCTTGACATATTTTCTTTTTATTACATATATTCATTTTTAAGTTTAGGAAATTGTTCATAAGCCTTGATAAATGAAAATTTATTAAATTTTAATCGTGCAAAGGACATATTTCTTGGGTACGTCTAAACACCGCTCAGGACCTCCTGAGTGCACTCAGGACATACAATGTGCACTCAGGACCCTTTATAGTCATCGTATTTGCACACAGGATGGATGAATATATTCGTTACACGCTGATTATTTAAGAGTTAAATTTTGGTAGAATTTGAAATCGAACTTAGATAGATATGTTAATTCTTATGAAATAATGAGGGCACGTGTTACTGCATGATTACACAACTACTGAGCCGTGAATTATCCAATCAACAAAATTGATTCGATTATTTTTATTGTTGTTTATGAATTGTGTTGTTAGTACTGTGTTACGTTTAAAATGAATAACACGATGTTATTAAGTTTTGTGAAAGTTGCAGTGTAGAGACTGAAAAACATTTTCTTATGGAATGCACACTTTATGACGATATTCGATATAACCTTTTTCATGAATGTCAAGTTCAAAATTTATTCAAGATTTTCACAGCCTTGATATAGATAACAAATTTATTGAAATTATGAGTATATTTTCAATGACAATATTTTGAATTTAAACTTATTAAGACAGATCAGTATTTATTTATATGATTTGCTAAGTCTAATATCTTAACTGCGTACGTGCTGTCCTTGGTCTTTTCCTTTGGTTTGGCTTACGAGCAAGTTTCTGGGGTTTTGACACTTCAAACTCTGTGCACGAAGACTTAGTCGTGGTTTGAACGGATTTCGTTTACTTACAAATTATTTAGAAATAATACCCAAATATGATAATTTTCAGAAAACAGAGACAAATTAATTTTTCAGAATTTATTTTCACATTGGAATTCGTTTGGAACAACTTTAATGAGAAAGATAAATCTTACTAAATGCGGATTTGTTAAAACATTCGTATTACTCAAGAATGAAATTACTGGACAACAACGATAAAAATGAGAAAGAACACAACTAAATGAGATTTGATTATTTGAAAAGCGTATTTTACGGCTTCTACAGTTAAGAACGGGTTCCATTTACAAAACTAAATCTTAATTCATGAAAAGTATGACAAATTTATTTCCCTTTTCAAACTCGTTCAAGGAATTTATTACTGGACAAGAACGAGTTTCAATAGGGGAATAAATCTAACTAAATGAAATTTTGATTAAATCGTTATGTTATACATACACAGCCTCTCATTGGTCAAAAAGTGTTAATTATTTGAATGAATCTCAAAGACAAGAAAATAGAACAAAACACACACACACACACAATTATATAAATAAGAATTAGAACGCAATGATACCAATATTTTTTTTTTAATTCAACGCTATTTTTAGTGAGTGATCAGATTAACTGTTAGCTTGAAAGTAAATTATGAATGGTGTTTCACCGATTCTTTTTTTTTACTATGGAACAATGCAATTAAAGTCTATTGTAATATATCTAGAGATATGAAAATACGAAAGAATTATTCTTCTTCATTTTTGAAGTAAGAATAAAACTAAACTTTTTATTGCACGAAATTTTAATAAAATACGAAAATCTATACAAAGAAAATAATAATGATATTTTTTTTATAAGTTAATAAAATGAAATGAAATGAATTGAATGAAAATTTCCCAACTTTATATGTAGATTTCTCATATTTCTCGACTGGCTTCAATTATTACTTGAATTACTTCAATTATTACTAACAAAAAGAAAAATGTTTTTTTAACGTTTTTTTTCTAAAACAATATATCTTCATTGTTCTTTATTTTTCAAAAGACATCTTGATTTTGTTTGTTTGCCAAGCTTACTTGTATGAGGTTAGTACCATCACTAATCACTCCTAATTATTAAAGATCAAACGACCTAATCAACATGATAATTGGTATTCAATATAATCCTCGGTCATGCCTGACATATTTCACAAAAACGGCGCGTGCCGATGAAAACTTCAATAACTCCTTAAATGTTAAAATGATTTTATCAAAACAAAAATTATTAGATGAAGAATTAAATTATCTATCGAATGCATACCGTCACCACTCACTAAAACATATATTTCATGTCCTGAGTGCACTCTGTATGTCCTGAGTGCACTCAGGAGGTCCTGAGCGGTGTTTAGACGTACCGATATTTCTTGGCACCATGAAGCCATTTAAGAATCAAGCCTCTTTGACATTTTGTTTTCATAGCAATTATTTGATCATTATTATTATTTATTGCATAAATTTTAATTACACAGTTGCTTTATAAATAATAGTTTTAAGAAAAAAACCAAAATATTTCTTTTTAAATTAGTTTTTTCTTGTTCAAAGAAAAATAATCTCAAAACTGAATTGTGACTTTTTGTCCTGTGACTTTTTGTCCATGACTTTTTGTCCTGTGACTTTCTGTCATTCATTCAAATACTGGTCGATTGAAATTTTCATGGTGGTTTTTACTATTTATTGAAGTAAAAAAATGAAAAAAAGTAAGACATATCTAAACTTTTATCTTTTGGCATGTTTCAGCTGATTTAAATGAATGAATTTGATATGTTTTATTCATTTTTAACATGTTTAACACTTTTACCTTCTAATTTAGTCCTTATAAGTTATGATATTGCATATTTTAGATAAATATAAAGAATTGACACATTAATTATTACTACATTTCAATCAAGATATTTTTTATTGAAAATGCATATTTTTTACAGGTACATAAAACTACAGGTAAATGAAGTTACAGGTGTCTTATTACCTATCACCTGGCATTGCTAGGTGTGTTAATTTAATTACTATAAAAACAACAGCCCCCAATAAATGATGACAAAACATGGTTGAAAGTAATAAAAGTGATATTTGAAGACTCACTTAAACAATAAAATATTTCCTGTCTATTAAATGTGAGACAAAAATCATCTTTATGCAGGAAATGGAAGGTATCAATGACCTTTACTCTTATTGCTGAACTATAATTTATGTACCAAAAAATATATAATGTAGTAAAATTTTACCCTTACATAATCAATTTTTACATACACATAGTACAACCATCTTGACCTTAAGAACCAAACTGAAACCTGAAGACCCTATTTGGAACTTCTAAACAATATAAGACAACAACAAATCAGTGCAAAATGTAATGATTGCAATGCTATAGTCAGTTTCCTTGCCAGGGACGAAACATTTTTATCTTATGTACTAATAAATCATTGTAAATCACTGTTTATTAAGAACTTACAATAAAATTAGTAATGAGAACATTTAAAATGACTTTAACACTTTCATTATTTCATTACTAAAAGTAATTGACCAGGTAGAGAGTGGTTTTTATAGTAATGGCCACTAAAATTTCAATCGACCAGTATTTGCCAGGATTTCCCAGTATTTACCGCCAGCATGGTCCATACTAGTATTGACCGCTTTTTTGCTAACCTTGGTAGTACGTGGCCGATAATAAATTCTTTTGCATGACATCCAGGGCTCATCAATAACGCTTGTCGGATACCAGAGGAAAAAGGTAGGACAAGTAAAAGCCATATCAAGCTTGTCCGATGGGACAAGTAAAACCATTTTTTAGACAATGGTAAAAAATAAATTAAATCCAACTTTGATGATCAAAGTAATAAACAAAAAACAAGAAAAGAAGATAAAAACAAATATATTAATTTGACATGTTTACTTGCAATCAATAATTTTTTGAATAAACAATTTAATATATTAAAAACAAAAGCTGTAGTAAGACATTCATGACATTAATAATAATAATAATCAAAATTTTATCAACATAAAAGACCAGGATACAAACCAAATGAGTGTAGACTGACAGGCCTACCAGACTGTGCCTGATGTGCAGAGTCTGATGAGACTTTGGCTTTGATGACAACTAGAACCTAAATCCTGTGACTAGACATGACTAGATTTAGTTGTTCTCGACTCATATTTTTGAAAACGATATCAAGAGATATAAATCAAATTCTGTTCTATTGTTTTAGTTCATTTTGTTCATTGAATCAAACTAAAATGCAAATAAGGTTAATATAAACATGATACATGTAAAGCGTTTTTGTTTTGGTCAATTACAATTCCATTCCGACAAGTAACATGAGTAAGTTTTGGTATGTACTTGTCCTATTGGGCAAGTTGAAAAATAAGTTATTGTAGAGGCCTGACATCACGAATAAAGTGGAAATACCCAAATGTCATGAACTTGCAAGCATAACGAACTTGCAATCATCGATGATATATACCTTTTGCCAGTGCTCCACCAAGTTCTTCACCGATTCCATGTGGCTGGGTATTAGTTGATGTGTATGGAACTGGTTCAACAAGCGATTCTAAAGTTTTTACAGGTGTTTTTTGGATCTTTTTATTCTTTTTAGATTTTGAATGTCGACTATTGAGCCCTTGTCCTTGCAATGACTTAAATCCAAGAATATGTTTTGTAAGATTAGTAACATCTACTTGTTTGATCAATTTATAGACTTGTGGTTGTTTTCTGCAAACAGTTGTGCAGATATTGTACATTATATTATCAAGAAACTGTCTAAATCTAAGCTATTTAGTCTACTGTAAATTTTCTCGTGTTTCTTTACTGGAAGCTGACATCTTGAAATAAACCGGAAGTAGAATATGTGGAATGACTGGATCACATGATTGTTAAAATGGTAGATGTCGTCGGAGATATGAGTAGTTTAAATTGTCATCCATTCAATAACTGTTGACATGAATAAGTTCACAGCGAAGGAAAATGGTTAACTTTTCATTACGCAGTGTTTATGGTATGATTTATTTCAAATGTCTTATATGCTATGTTTATGGACATTTAGCATGTTTAGATCAAAAATATAGTGATCAGTGAATCATGATTCTCAAAATGTATACTACATGTAGATGTATAAGACTCCTTTATAAGGAGCACGAGTATGAGCTATTGTGTAAAATAGGACCATTAAGGACACATCTTCTGAAATAGGAGAGTTCTGAGATAGTATCAGTAATTAAAAAGGAGATTAAAAAAGTAGTATAACATGACATATTTTTTCTGAGAAATAAATTATCATAACTTTTTTTGTTATTTGCAAGGACATATAACTAACTAATATACGTCCTTGTTATTTGGTAGATTTTTTTTATATTTGGCTACCTTTTAGATACAAGACTATATTTAATGAAAATCTAAAAAAAAAAAATTTTTAAATAATTTTCATGTTTTTGAGCCAAAAAAGTTGACTGGATGGATTTCACAGTCGCTGATATACGCTTTGAATTTATTGAACTGATCGAAAAAATATTGTAAAACAAAAGACATATTAACACTTTTTGTCAATCAGTTCAATATATTCAAAGCGTACATTTTGTACATCTGCTAATGTGAAATCCGTCCTGTCATCTTTTTTTGTAGAAAAACATTTTTTTTTACTATAAAGTTTATATTTTCATATAATATATTTTTTAATCTCACAGATTTCCTAATTTCATGAATAAATATTGTAAAACAAGAGATATTAACACTCTTCACAGTTCACAGTGTTTTCCATTCAGCATTTAACCTGGGTGTGCCAACCACCTTCTTTTGATTGCCGACCACCTTTTGATTTTAGGAGGTGGTCGGCTTTTTTTCAAATTCCGGAATTTTTTCGGTTCTGCACCTTAAAAATTTAAATACTAATCACGCCTCGCTGATTGTTTTCATTGACAAAAATGGCGGATTGTCAAATTTTAAAGTTTTCTTTTATTAATCGGAGGGAGAGAAAGGCAGATGACGATGGTGATAAGGAAAATTCTAAGCCAAATAAGTCAACTAAAACGGATCGTTGTATTGAAATTGTTGAAATTGAAAAAAAATTATCGAAACAACGGAAAAGGCACGCAAGCCATCTCACTCAAGCGATTGCGAAGATAAACAGGTTGGGAACAATCCCCCAAATGATATCCCTTAAATGAGGATCTGTCTCTCTAGCAAGAGGTCAAGTTTAAATTCTGTTGAAGAAAAAAAGAGAAAAACTTAGATTTTTGAACTTAAAAGGGGAAAAAATCGTTATATTTGAAACAACTTTTCTAAAAGAGGGTCCCATTAATTTTAATGATAAAGAAGATATAAGTCCAGAAATTTTACAAAATTCTTGAATATGTTTTGACCATATAATACCAAATAGATGTATAGGTCTTTGGGAAAAGTTTCTGTAAATAGAATAAATATGTGCTCATTTGTATCTCTTTAAATGTACCCCCTCATAAAAGAGATAGTCATTACATTTTGAGGGGTTCCCAAGCTGATAAATATGAACAGGACTTTAAATGGCTAATCATCACAGGAGGAGGATATTATTGTTCTGTGTGCCAAAAATACAGCATTAAAGCAAGGAACAGGACAGAAACTTTGATCGATAAGCCATGCAAATGCAGCTGAGGAGGAGGGATCGAGTCCTGCAAAAGCCATATCTGCTATCCGAGATCGGCAAAACTAATTTGTAAAATGAAAGGCTAGCAGTGATCATAGTGATAGCAGAAGAACAGTTCAATTTTATTAAATGTGAATACAATACTAATCCTTCTTTTTGTGACCCCCACCAACAGTAAAAAAAAACGGTTGGAAATGTTAAAACAAAAAAAAAACCCAACCGGTGGCAAGTGATTTTTTTCAAAACACCCACCTTACCTTAGTGAAAAATGGAGAACACTGAGTTCTATATATTTAAAGCGTACATCAGGGACTATTAAATACGTCCGGTCAACTTTTTTTTCTCAAAAAATATTTAAATTTTTTTTTTTTTTTAGATTTTCATTAAACATCTTAAATATAGTTTAGTATCTCAAAGGTCTCCAAATATAAAAAAAAATCTACCAAATAACAAAAAAGTTTTAACCATTTATGTTTATATCTCAACCAGTCATTATCCTGTCACTACCTGGTCAATTGTCCTGTCATTAGTGTTACCTGTATTCTCCTAGTTTTTCATAAGCTATTTATGCAAAATATTCATCTACACTTTTATATTTTGAAACCCTCTGTTACCCTGGCGAAACCTATTGTAAAGTGATATTATTCATATTGTTAATATTTCATGCAGACAAGGTTGTGTTGGTCTCTACACTGCATAGATGTCTGACATTATTTCATGACTGAAGTGTGTAACTGAAAAACTAAACTATTGATGATATGATACAGGTGGAAACCTGATGAGTTCCCAAAAGTATTTGGTGCATGTTTGTTTTACTTATCAGATTACTTTAAACAGTATGTTCCTTTTAGGGTATAAATTGGATACAAATTTGCCGGAAATTGTATCCTTTGAAGTTTTAAAAAAAATCCTGAATAAAGTTTTCCGCTTGTTGTTAAGCTTATTTAGCTAGACAGAGGTACCATTGTAGTATAAAATATTGACTACCCTTCTACAATTAATGCTCCCTTTGGGATCATATAAGACGTATGTAACCTGTGAAAGATGATGCACTCTGTATTAGTTGCATTTTTGCCTATTACATGTATCTTCTAAAGTATAAAAGATTGATAAAAACTGAGATAAGCAAAAATTATCAACAAGATCAGATCTACAAATAAATTACCATGGCTGAAATCGTATTCAAGATTCCTTATTGGAGTTACTGCATTTTATTGACAGTTTTTACCCATTTTTAGTGTTTTTACCTGTTATCTGGAAAAGTATAATAGATAGAGGGACACTTTAAATTCAAAAATGATATGCAAGACAAGATCTTCAAATAAGTAAACATGGCCATAATCCCCAGACAACTCCTTCAGCAAGACAAGCAAATGACAAGATCTACAAATAAGTGTAATGGTCGAAATCGTCAGTGGACTCCTTATAATTATTGCTCTTTAATGATGATTTTTACCCATTTTTAGTCTTTTTGCCTATTATTTTCAAGGTAATGTTGTTAAGATGTTTTTTAGCATGAAAGATAGAAAAATTCAATTCTATCTTGGTAAATAGTTTAACAACTGACATTATTGCCCATGTATGTATATGTATATGTAGATGCAATGCATATTACTGTTTACATAATAAAAGACAATATTTGACATGCCCTTTTTATACGACCGCAAAAAAATTTTGAGGTCGTATATTGGTATGAAGTTGGCGTCGTCGTCGTCGTCGTCGTCCGGCGTCGTCGTCCGAATACACAATGGTTTTCGCACTCTAACTTTAGTTTAAGTGAATGGATCTCTATGAAATTTTACCATAAGGTTCAATACCACAATAGGAAGGTGGGGATTGATTTTGGGGGTTATGGTACCAACAGTTAAGGAATTAGGGGCCAAAAAGGGGCCGAAAATAAGCATTTTTGTAACTTCCAGACATAACTTGTGTGTTAGCATATGGATCTCTTTGACATTGTACCACAAGATTCCATATCACAAAGGGTCAATGCTGGGATTGATTTTGGGGTTAATTGCCTCAAAATTTTAGGAATAAGGGGCCAAAAGGGGGCAAAAAACAAGCATTTTTCTAGTTTCATGACAATAACTTGTGTTTAAGTGTATGGATCTTTCTGAAATTTTACTACAAGGTTCCATTTTACAAAGGGAAAGCTGGAATTGAGTGTTGTGGTAATTGCCCAAAATGTTTAGTAATAAGGGGCCTAAAAAGGGGTTTAATATAAGCATTTTTTAGTTTCTAGACAATAACTTGTGTTCAAGTGTATGGATCTCTCTAAAATTGTATTACAAGGTACCATACCACAAAGGCAAGGCTGTTATTGAGCTTGGTTTGAGGGGAAAGGGGGGTGGGGGTGATGAATCATAAGGGGGCGGGGGTCAAAAAAGGGGTAATTTTTTTTTTTCCTTTTTTTTTTGTTTAAAATTTACATTTTAAGTTAGTTATTTTTTATCACGAAGAGAAAGTAGGAATTGAGTTTTGGGGTTAATTGCTCAAACATTTATGAATAAGGGGCCAAATATTGGGATTTTTTTTTTTTTAGTTTGCAACAAAAACTTGTGTTCAAGTGTATGGATCTCTGTGAAATTGTATTGCAATGTACAATACCACAAATTGAAGGTTGTGATTGAGGTGGGGGATGATGAATCAAAAGGGGGTTGAAAAAATGTGTGGGGGGTAGGATTTTTTTTTTTCCTTTTTTTTTCTTTAAAATTTTCCATTTAAAGATGGTTGTTTCAGATTTATATATGAAAGAAAATAATAATGATACGGTTATATATCATGAGGAATTGAAATTTAAAATTATGTTTATTGGAAATTTAGGTTACATTGGAAAGTAATAATTGGCTTTGGGGGGGGGGGGGGGGGGGGGGTGGTTATGGCTCTAATGTTTAAGGAATAAGGGGAAAAAAGGTTAAAAAACAAGGGTTTCCATTTTAATAGACAAATAATTGAGTAAAGAACATTATTTAAAAGCAGTGTAAGGTTGGTAATTCAAACTCATTTAAATATCTCATCTACACTGCTTTTAAATTATGTAAATTGGAAATTTGCCAATAACTTTATTGTTAATAAATGCATTGGAAATTTGCCAACAATTTTAGTGTAATAAACTTCATTGGAAATTTGCCAATATAAAATTTTGCTGATGAAGGTTTTTTGTTTACCTTTAGCCTTGACTATGAAGTCATTTTCTATTTTTATAGCCTTATGATGTAGTTGAATCATTTAATACTTTTATGATGTGTTTAAATGGGGTTTTATCATGTTTATGGTTGCAAATTTATTGTTTTAGTATAATAAACTCCATTTAAAATTTGCCAATAAAAAAAATTTTTGTTTATTTTTAGCTATGATTATGATGTCATTTTCTATTTTACTTTTATGGTTGCAAAGAAATTTTTATTTTTAGATATTACTGTTAAATGATGCTGATTAAGGTTTTTGCTATGTTTAGCCATGACTATGATGTAATTTTCTATTTTAATATCTGTTATGATGTATTTAAATGGGCTTTTATCATGTTTATGGTTACAAAGGAATTTTATTTTTAGATATTACTATAAAATGTTGCTGATGCTGATTAAGGATTTTGTTTATTTTTAGCCATGACTATGATGTCATTTTCTATTTTAATACCTTTATGATGTAATTTCCATTTTTAGATATTACTGTTAAATGATGCTGATTAAGGGTTTTTTGCTATGTTTAGCCATGACTATGATGTCATTTTCTATTTTAATATCTTTATGATGTATTTAAATGGGCTTTTATGGTTACAAAGGAATTTTATTTTTAGATATTACTTTAAATTTTGCTGATTAAGGATTTTTGTTTATTTTTAGCCATGACTATGATGTCACTTTCTATTTTAATACCTTTATGATGTATTTAAATGGGCTCCCATGTATTTAGATTTTTGATTATTTATACATGTTACCAAATTGGTCCACATTGAACAAAAACGGTCCAAATTTCAACTTTATTACATTACATCAAACATTGAATTCTACATATTCCTTGATATATTGAAATTAACAAACAATTTAGTTTATGGATATGCCACCATAATAGGTAAATTAAATTTTTTCCAGTTCTTACACCACATTCATCCTGTGTCAGAAACCTATGCTGTGTCAAATATTTAATGACAATCCAAAGTCATAGCTGTATCAAGCTTGAATTTTGTGTCCATACTTGCCCCAACTGTTCAGGGTTCGACCTCTGCGGTCGTATCAAGCTGCGCCCCAGCGAAGCATTTTATTGGATTATCAACCAGTGTGCTAAAATGCCCTTTTCATGATTGGCTCCCTGCCCTTTTGAAATCCTAGCTGGAACACTGTCTTGAACACTATAATACATGTATAATAGATAGACACTTTAAATTTCAAAATGATCAGCAAGAAAATATCTACAAATAAGTCAACATGTCCGGTATCATCAGTTGACTCCTTGTTGGAGTTCTTGCCCTTTAATGACAATTTTTTTGCATTTTTGCTTATTATTTTGAAACTATAAAAGATCGATAGACACTATTACCAACAAGACAAGATCTACAAATAAGTCAATTTTTCCAAATGATAAGTAGACTCTTTATACATGTAGGAGTGATTGCCCATTAAAGGACAACTTTTTTTATACCTTTTTTGTGTTTTGTGCAAAAATTAAAGATAGAGGGACACTGATAACAGAAAAAATGATCAGCAATTCAAGATCAACGAAATGGAGATTTGTGTCATGATTTCTTGTCTAGTCCACAATGTTGGAGAGTGTCCATTGTTGAAGATGCCCATAGACCCAGATGAGTGACACAGGCTCTTTAGAGCTTCTACTTTTAATACCACCCCCTAACATTTTAATATGCAATAATAAAGGAGTCAGAGCTGTTTTTTATGCCCCCACGACAAAATGTTGAGGGGCATATTAATTTTTCCCTGTCTGTCTGTCCGTTCGTCCGTCTGTCCGTCCGGCCGGATTAGGATAAATTGTTTGTCCGGCTATCTCCTCATACAGTTTTGGAGGTACAACTTCAATATTTTGTAGGATGTTCATACACATAATGAAGGTGTACATGGTCACAGGATTTTGATTTCTTTTAAATATTCTGAAAATGACAGGTAGTTGGACTTTGTCAGTTTTTTGGTACTACAGTAGCTGCATAAAGAGATCATGGTATGTCCGGCTATTTCCTCCTGCAGTTTTTGAAATACAGCTTTAATATTTTGTAGGATGTTCAAACACACAATGGAGGTGTGCATGGCCACAGGATTTTGATTTTTTTTCAAATATTCTGAAAATGACAGGTAGTTGGACTTAGTCATGTTTTTGGTACAAGCTGCATAAGGAGATCATGGTTTGTCCGGCTATCTCCTCCTACAGTTTTGGAGATACAGCTTTAATATTTTGTAGGATGTTCAAACACATCATGGAGGTGTGCATGGCCACAGGATTTTTTTGATTTTTTTTCAAATATTCAGAAAAGGGGGAGGGGGGGCATTGTCCATATCTAGTTTTTTATTTGTTTGGCGACCAATTGATCAGTGGCTAACCAAAGAATAAAAGCTCTGACACCAAATCCAAATACTAGTGATCTCAATTATTTACAGTAAGAGATATTTTGTATGAAGATGCCATACTGGTGCTAACTTCATACAAATGTCTTTTTAATCATTTGTAGCGTTCAGTTTGTTTTATTTGAACAGTGAGACAGGAATATGATGATTTTTTTTTGATTTTTTAAATGCATTGTTATCTTTAGTGGGGAATTGATGTCATCACTTTACGACATCCTAGCAGGTTAAATAAAAAGCCAAACATTATTCACAAAGCAAATTATCTAAGCTTTTTGTAATATTCAAATTTCTATATAAAGTATAAATATTGTTTAATGAATTTTAAAATTAAACCTTATGTTGATAAAACTGTACAGCTAAATTTTGATAATTGCTTTTCTCACGGGCAACTGATTTCAGAGCAAAGCTTGTGACCTTAAACAATCAGTAAAAGGGAGCAAGTTTTTTATTTTTGGGTTGTAACTCTTTCTTGAGTCAAGCTAGCTTTGATTGTGACACACAGGACCCAGAAGGTCTAATGGCTTTGTGAAATCTGCTTATTATATTGATTTTAGAGCCAATTTGGACCTACATGTAAGTTAACCTGCTTAATTTTTAGGGTAAAATGGGATTTACTTAACTATCCTTTGTTCTTACATTAATTTAAAAAAAAATATTTGTATTATTTATTTCAGAGTTTTATTTTGTTTTATAGGTATTGCCTTGTTATTGATATATATAAAGATAAATTTGTCAGTAAAAGTAAACCCACAGTGTAATGGCACCTTCATTGAGAATTGTACAAGTTGTGAACCTGGAACTTATGCAAATGAAAGTAAGTTTGATTGACAGTTTATTAACCACTCAGAAAATAATAATCAATGATGTTTTTGTCTAAAACTGCTTTATGCTTTGCCACAAATGTGCCCAAAAGAAAAGAATTTAGCCCTGCTTATGTGGACTTCCTTTAAGGCCTGATTAGTTTACCTTTACAATGTATTGGTAATGTATCAGTAATAATTCATATAGATTCTACAGTTTACTTGTACACTATAATGTCATTGTCACTATGTCTGACTTCAATATTTTTTTTTGGTAGGAATAAGCAGCTAAGACATCCAGTACCTCACCCTTTTAGTTTAACTTTGAATAATGGAAAAACAGACCCTCTCATTTATTTTTTTTACCAAAAATACACCTGTACCTATCATGATTACGCTATTAAAAATGTCATTTTAAAATTATGGAATGATATTTGTTACCTCATTTTTTTCAGGTGGTGTTGATTGTTTCTGTTGCCAAGTGTTTGGTCAGTGTAAAGTAGATAGTTTATGTGTCCCTTGTGCTAGAGGATATTACAACCCAACATGGCAAAAAACATATTGTGTACCATGTGAAAAGGGACATTATGCTAAGTATGTGCAATTTATCATCTGTTTTTACTATGTACATGACAAAAATTATGGAATAGTTCACGTTAAGGAAGGGCAGGTATTTTGATGTCTTGGATTTTTATATAATTTGCATGAAAATAGACCATGTGGAACTGCATCTTAACAATGAAAAAAAAATTATTCAATTTTATTGTCAAGCCTGTGACTTTTGTCGCAGAAAGCTCGACTTAGGGCGGCGGCGGCGGCGTTAGCTAACTTCTTAAAAGCTTTATATTTTAGAAGGTGGAAGTTCTGGATGCTATATACTTTGTATATTGATGCCTCATGCTACAAAGTTTCCGTCAGTCACATGTCCAATGTCCTTGACCTCATTTTCATGGTTCAGTGACTACTTGAAAAAAAAGTTAAGATTTTTTGTAATGTTAAATTCTCTCTTATTGTAAGTAATAGGATAACTATATTTGGTATGTGCGTACCTTGCAAGGTCCTCATGCCCGTCAGACAGTTTTCACTTGACCTCGACCTCATTTCATGGATCAGTGAACAAGGTTAAGTTTTGGTGGTTTTGGCAGGTGTCATCTGACCTTGACCTCATTTTCATGGTTCAGTGGTTATAGTTAAGTTTTTGTGTTTTGGTCTGTTTTTCTTATACTATAAGCAATAGGTCTAGTATATTCGGTGTATGGAAGGACTGTAAGGTGTACATGTCCAACTGGCAGGTGTCATCTGACCTTGACCTCATTTTCATGGTTCAGTGGTTATAGTTAAGTTTTTGTGTTTTGGTCTGTTTTTCGTATACTGTATGCAATAGGTCTACTATATTTGGTGTATGGAATGATTGTAAATAGTACCTGTCTAGCTGGCAGGTGTCATCTGACCTTGACCTCATTTTCATGGTTCAGTGGTCAAAGTTAAGTTATTGAGTTTTGGTCTTTTTTTCTAATACAATATGCAATAGTTCAACTATATTTGGTGTATGGAAATATTTTATGATCTATATGTCAGTCACGCGGGTTTTATTTGACCTTGACCTCATTTTCAAGGTTCATTGCTCAGTGTTAAGTTTTTGTGTTTTGGTCTGTTTTTCTTAAACTATAAGTAATAGGTCAACTATATTTGTTGTATGGAAGAATTGTTAGCTGTAAATGCCTGCCTAGCATGGTTCATCTGACCTTGACCTCATTTGCATGGTTCATTGGTCAATGTTTAGTTTACTTGGTTAATGTTAAGTTTATGTGACAGTTGTAATAAAGCTTTATATTAAGGACTATCAACATAATATCAATGATTAGTAAAGAAGGCTTGACATTTCAGCATGTGCACTCTTATTATTATATATTTCTTGACATATACTTGTCTGTTGAGGCCAAAAATAAGATTTGAATTGTTGGATGTTGCCTACCTACCCACCTAAAAACATGAAAAAGTGGCTTACCTGAAAAATATTATGACACAAAATCGTTTCATTTTTATTTTCAAAGATTTTCCTGCTTTTATGTCGTTTCCTTGTTTAAAACATGTAACTTATGTTGTTGGCCAAAAAAGAAAAAAAATCTCTACCTACCTACCCAACCCTACAAGACATGGGTAGGCAACACCAAACAAGGAATTTGTTATGGGTGGCTTAAGATGTGAAAAGGTGAAAATGCATATATTGTATGTATAAATAAATGTAAAAATTCAATTAATGTTTAATTTTACTTTAAATATGAGATTTCTCCAAAACAAATATCCTACAATGTTTAAAGTTTCAGTAAAAGTGTTATAGCTACCAAAATGTATTATAAGGAGACACCTACTCGGCTTCTTTTTTACTTTGTTTGGTTTTTAATTTTTTTCAGTTGTTTATTAAACCCCCGCTTTAAAAAAGTGGGAGTATACTTTTTTACCTCTGTCTGTCCATCAGTCTGTCCGTCTGTCTGTCCATCTATCCATCCATCCATCAGTCAGTCAGTCCATCCATCAGTCAATCCGTCAGTCCGTGCTCCGTCCCATGAATATTTTTCGTCGCATCTTTCTCAGGATCTACATTACAAGGATTTCTGAAATTTGATTTCAGGGTTTATATGAGTCAGCTATACCATTTGATGCGTTTTCAGGTTCATCTCTCAACAATTTCCTGTTTACCGTATACTTTTAGCGGGCAGGGGTATCATTAGTGAGCAGTAGCTCACAGATTCACTTGTTTTGTTTTGTTATGTTTTTATGTTGTTTTGTTTTGTTTTGTTTTGTTTTGTTTTGTTTTTTGTTTTTAAAAAATGAAAAGCCTGAATACTTTTACATCTTTATAATTATCACCAATTATTTCTAAGTATTAGCCAGATAATTTGAACATTTGACTTTAATATAGAGTTTAGAGGACAGTTTTACGATTCATAAAAGTTCATATAAATATAAACTGTTTATAAGTTGAATAAATCTGTTGTATCTGTATTACGCTATCATTACTGTGTGTACAATATATATTTCCTTTGCACATGATTGAATATTTTTATTTGTAGCGTAACAGGAAAACAAGAATGTGATGGTTGTGAGGCTGGTTACTTTGCCAATAAAAATGGGTCAATTGAGTGTCAACCATGTGCAGAGGGAGAATTTCAAAATATAACAAAACAATCCTCATGTAATAAATGTGATCCAGGCTGGTACCAGAACAAAACTGGTCAGGAAGAATGCCTGAAATGTGATACAGGTCATTTTAGTGTTCATCCAGCAAGTACAGGATGCACTGCTTGTACTGAGGGAGAATATCAAAATATAACTGGTCAGACAGATTGTTTGAAATGTTCCCCAGGATATTTTCAGGATCAAAAAGCACAGGCAGAATGTTTAATGTGTAAAACTGGAACTTTTAGCAAAGGAGAAGGCAGTCCAAAATGTGATGAATGTCCGAAGGGACACTATCAAAATGCTACAGGACAAGCTGTATGTGATATGTGTAATCCTGGACATTTTCAGAATGTCACAGGAAAATCATTATGTGAGCCTTGTCCAGTAGCTCACTACTGCAAGTATGTTTTACATCAAAGGCATAATATAGGGGGCTCAAGTAGGGTACCCCTTAGGTCACAAGGTCACATTTAGAAATTGCCTCAGGTCACCAGGTCACTTTTAAGCAAATGAAACGGTTTTTAACAATTTTAAAGATTACAGGTCTTGTTAAATTAGACGTCAGATTGTATGGTCATCTTCTGAGGTCACAGGTTGGATTTGACCATGTAGGAGCTACATATAGAGTTATTTTTTAAACAGGCTTATGGGGTCTTGCTTTGCAGTATGCGTATTGCTCATTGTTGAAGGCCCTATGGCAACCGATTGTTGCTAACATCAATGTCATATATTCTGTGGTGGATAGTTGTCTCATTGGCAATGGCAATCATACCACATCTCCATATTATATATTTGGATTAGATTACACACAAAAAAAATCTGCTGTTGATTTATAAAAGTGTTGTAAATTAAAGTATCAAAATATTGAGCTCAGATTTCAAACTCATTCAGGTTTCAAGCAAATGCATAAAAAATAACTGCAAAAAAAAAAAGAGACCAAGAAAGATGGGTATTGGATTTAAAATAGTTTTTTCATTTTGGATATCAGTTTTGACAATTTGAAAAAAGTGAGTGATTTATACATCATGTACATGTTGTACAGAAAAGATTTTTATATAAATTTAGCTAATCCTATATGATTATTATTATCTACCTACAGAGTCACATGAGAAATAAGTTCAGATTTTATGAAGAGGTCATTCATGAACTTAATATTGTTCTGTATTTTGATAATTGTATATTTTCCTTTAAAAATTTTAAACTTTGCACTTTACCACACATTTGTTTCAGAGCTAGTGGTTCTGAAGGCTGTCTTTTATGCCCTGCAGGAACATATGGTAACACCACAGGATTAGTAGACTGTTTAGCTTGCTTACCAGGATCTTACTCCGCATTAGGATTAACACATTGTATAGAGTGCCAAAATGGACACTATCAGGATAAGAAAAATCAGAGTTCTTGTGTAACATGTAATTCAGGAACAGTATGCAAGTTAGTTTATATTTCCAATGTAATTGTTCTATGACAATCTATAGCCTGTTTTGAAACCACATATTAAAGTATTACTTCAAAATAAGAAGATATGATTATACTGTCAATGAGACTGCAACCAAACAAACACTAAATGACTGGAATTTGGACAAAGGTTCTGTACTGATGCAATTCTTAAATTTGTTTCAGATGTCAGATCATTTGGTTTTTCTGCCTTTTATTTTTTATATATACCTATTTAAAAGGACCAGCCCCAGCTTAGCTCTTTCACCAAGTTTAGTTTAGACATTTTTCATTTCTCTATAGCATACAATTGACAGATACACATATATGTATATAAATATATACATAGTGACTCAGAAACAAGAATATCTTATTATATTAATCTGTCTCCTTTAGTAGGTAGGCAAATATTAAACATTCAGAGCAATTAAACATTTTGACATTTATGTACAATAATACCGTAGGTTTATATATAATTTTGAGTTATTGTTTATGATCAGTGTGTTCCTTGTAAATGTATATTTTAGTTGATATCAAAAGTCCATTGATGAAACAAATACAATAGTTATTGCTCATTTAGAAAACCAGTATGACACTACTAATCAAATCTCTGTGACTTGAAGGCTTCACTTGAAGATATATGCAGTTTATTCACATTATTAAGCCAGTGATAATACTTTCAATAAGATAACTTTTAATATACCCTGCATCTTATTAATAAATGGTATAATTTCTCCAGTAAAACAGGTTGTACTACTTGTGATCCTTGTCCAGAAGGAGAAGAAGCTGATGGAAAAGGCTTATCAGAATGTGCAAAATGTCAGCCAGGTTTGTGAATACATAGATAGACAATATTCATTTGTGCAAACATGTTTACATTCAATTGTTATAGCCAGAATATTAACAAGAAAACTTACAATTGTATAATTAAATTGGATCGCCAGTGGCTTTCATATATAAAAAAAAATACTATAATTATTTGTGTATTCTTGTATAATCATTAATAATCATGTACAAAAATATAAACATAGAAATATGTCACATGATATGATTTCCTCATTGAAACAGCCACTATCTCTGAAATTCCTTATTTATAAGTCTCCTCAAAATAGATTAATCCCATAATTTGTTTGCAAATTAACATAATAAATGTTGTGATTAAGATCGAAGATCATTCAATATATTCCTAATACATTATGATTGAACTTCCTTTGTTTACAGGGACATACAAGACTGCTTCTGGTCCATCATTATGTCAGGAATGTCCTGATGGTACCTTCAATACATTATGATTGAACTTCCTTTGTTTACAGGGACATACAAGACTGCTTCTGGTCCATCATTATGTCAGGAATGTCCTGATGGTACCTTCAATACATTATGATTGAACTTCCTTTGTTTACAGGAACATACAAGACTGCTGCTGGTCCATCATTATGTCAGGAATGTCCTGATGGTACCTTCAATACATTATGATTGAACTTCCTTTGTTTACAGGGACATACAAGACTGCTGCAGGTCCATCATTATGTCAGGAATGTCCTGATGGTACTTAAACTACATTATGATTAAACTTCCTTTGTTTACAGGAACATACAAGACTGCTGCTGGTCCATCATTATGTCAGGAATGTCCTGATGGTACCTACAATACAAACAGCGGATCTCAATCTAAACAGGACTGCTTGTTATGTCCAGAGGATAAATTCTGTCCAGTAAGTCATTACACAAAATTTATATTTATATTTATATTTACATAAAACCATCATTGTTTAGAAAAGATGTTATATATCTGTTTTTTCAAGTCCTTTCCTCTTTATGCTCCAGCAACTAAAAGTTGGGGGGCATATTGTTTTACCCCTGTCCGTCCGTATATCCATCCTTCCGTCTGTCCATCTGTCCGTCCCATTATGGGTATATAGTTATTCCAGATAACTCTTCCTGCAGTTTGAATGCTAGGAAGTTTTCACTTTGCTGGCTGTTTGTTCATATATTGAAGGTGTGCATGTGGTCAGGGTTTTGATTTTTATTGATATTTGCTCTTTTGGGAGATAGTTGAACTTTGTCATTTTCGGAGTATATACTTGCATAAGAGGTGCATAGCATTTCCGGATAACTCCTCCTACAGTGAACCATAGACTTATGTGCTCCCATGCTCAACTTTGTATATTTTAGAATAACACTTTGCATCTGCAGGGGCATCATTTGTGTCTCCCAGACACAATAATATCTCAAAGAAAGTTCTACATAATGACTTTGTTATAATACAGTTACTTCAAATGGAGTGGGGGGACATCACTTGTTTGGAAACATTGTTTTTCACTTTTGCATATATCATTCTGCAAAGATCTTTTAAAATCCTGATCTGGGTTTGACAAACTTTAAAGATTGAACTCAACAATAACAAATATTAACTTTAGAGTTATCGTTGCAATACTTAGGTCGTACATAGTTCTAGATGTGAATTTTGTAAATCAGTTTGAAAGATGAACTAAATTCTTAAACATTCCAAAAATAAAGGATGGGATTTGTTCCTTTCCTGTCAGGGGGGACTGCAGGGGTAATTTCTACTTTTGATTTAATATAAAACTTTTTCTTTCATATTAACCCATATACACTCCTTTTAAGGTATAGAACCACTAATTCGGGCCCAGTCAGAAAGAAAATACAAGAAAGTAGTACATATTTTAAACAAAATAGTTCCTACACATAGCTTTAACTTTGTCAATAAGTAAAAGATTTTGGTAATTTTGGTATCAAATGAAAGCTGAAGGACTTGTGATCACTGTAGAACTCTTGTTAAAAGTTTTTTTGGAATAATGAAAAAAAAATATATGAAATTATTATAGGAGGGCACATTTGCCCTGTTGTTCAGATTAGAAGTACCTGTTTTTGTACTACCAAACTTCCGGGAACCAGTGCGCTCTAATATACAATTAAAGGTATGTTGAATTTTTCAGAACAAGTCAGGATAAGGCATAGTTTTGACATGAAATGACTGCCACTTTATTTGAACTTTATAAGACTAAGTAGCCTTTAATGCCTGAAAGAGCAGAATTTAACATAGAAGGCAATGGGGTTATTAATTATTGGTTATATTCCTTAATCTTTATGTTTCTGTTTTCTAATGCAGTCGTCTGGCGATAACCCTCAGCCTTGTCCAGCAAGTGCCTATTGTCCAGCAGGGTCTAGTGATCCAGAATTTTGTAATACTTTACTTAAACCAAATAAAATAAAGATGAATTGTGAAGTCACACCATCATTTATTGTTGTTATGTCTGTGATTGGGCTAGGTGAGTACTTGTAATTGATTATTTACATCATACCATATTTACCTATATTTAGTGGGAAATCTAGTGACAAAATATTACCTCCCCTGTAAACACTGAAAAGTTGATCTTATCAATGTTTGTTTGGTTTTAGCAAGGACTCTATTAATTATGAATTCACAAGAAAACATTCTGGTAAAGAGTAACAATAAAAATGAATTGAAATGAAAACAAAATTTCCATATAATGTTATCATTTCTCTCCTTAAATAGCAAACGACGAGTACAGCAGGTTTTAGGAGCTATGTGTAAAATTGGTTTAAAATTTTGCTATGCCAATAAATTCCTGGAGTACCAGCTTCAATTTATTATGGCTGTAATCCTCTCTGGAACATGCCAATTATCCATATATGTATGCAGCTAGATCAGAGAAGTTCAGGGGAAAAATTCCAAAGGAATTGATTGATATGCAGCAAATTTTAACACTTTTCAAATTAATTTACTAAGCAAATTCAAACGAACCTTATTGCCATGTAAACATTGAATGTGAATAGAGTGAGAAGAAAATGCACATACACGACTTTTAAGTTGTTATTTTCATGAAAAGACATTTCTCTATTGAAAGTTCATGTGACAAGAGCAGACCAGTTTACTCGAAAACTTTAGATGTGAAAAATAGGTATAGTTTGGGAAATTGTAACATGCTGAGGATTATGTGGAACACTCCAAAAATTTGTGACCTGAGAGATCTTTAGATTTTGTATGTACATGTTTTTTTCCAAACTTTTTTTATCAAAAACTTAAGATGTAAAAAATAGGTATAATTTGGGAAATTGTAACATGCTAAGGACTATGTGGAACACTCCAAAAATTAGTGACCTGAAAGATCTTTAGATTTTGTATGTACATGATTTTTTTTTATCAATATGCAGCAAGGATTAACAATTTTAAATTTTATTTTCACAAGCTTCTTATGCAATTAAAATAATGAACATAAAACATCGTGTATTTGCATGTATATTTCTAATAACACAGTTCAACAGATATTTTCTTTAAAAAGTAGGATTGTTGTTTAGAAATAATTTTTGATTGATATCGTCACATGCATTGATTTTCATAAGAAGCGTGAATATTCTATTGTTCTTGGTCATTGGTTTTTTGTCTCGCCTTGACGGAGTCGAAAAGCGAGACATAGGTATGCTGTTTCCGGCGACGGCAACGGCGGCGGCGTCAACAATGTATTAGTTTGTGATTAGGACTAGTTCATGGTGAACCACTAGTGGTAGGTCAATGATATTTGGTATGCAGTTGTATTAGCATTGGCACATCTCATTACCATGGAAATTATTTGGCCCCGCCTCCTCAGTCAAGGTCTATTGACTTTGAAACTTTGCTTAGTTTACATGTATTAGTTTGTGATTAGGTCAGCTTATGGGGAACCACTAGTGGTAGGTCAATGATATTTGGTATGCAGTTGTATAAGTATTGGCATATCTCATTTCCATGGAGATTATTTGGCCCCACCCCCTCATTCATGGTCTATTGACTTTGAAACTTTTTCTTAGTTTTCATGTATTAGTTTGTGATTAGGTAAGTTTAAGGGGAACCGTTAGTGGTAGGTCAATGATAATTGGTATGCAGTTGTATAAGTATTAGCACATCTCATTTCCATGGAGAATATTTGGTCCCTACCCATCAGTCATGGTCTATTGACTTTGAAACTTTTGCATAGTTTACATGCATCAGTTTGTGATTAGTTCAGTTTAAGATGAACCACTAATGTTAATTCAATGATATTCGGTCAATACATTTGCAAGTTTCATTTCCATGGAGATTTTATAACCCCACCCCCTAATTATGGTTCATTGACTTTGAAACTTTTACATAGTTTACAAGTTAATGTTTGTGTTTAGGTTTGTTTAAAGGGAACGACTTATGAAAAGTCAATGGTATTTGGTTTGCAGTTGTATTAGCATTGGCACATCTCATTTCCATGGAGATTGTTTAGCCCTGTACCTTCAGTCATGGTTCATTGACTTTGAATATTTGCATAACTTACATGTTAAAGTATTGCTATTTTAATTTCAAAATTTGCATTATCAAAATAACTAATAGGCGAGACATATCTCTGTGTTAACAGTTTATGTCACTTTATTGTATATTGTTAATCCCTTGGATTTTCAGAACATGCTTCACACATACACCACCCTCTTCTGGTATTTATAGGGATACATACCTCAATACATTATTTTGTCTGCAGACCATTTTTGCTCTTATTTTTTGTGTCATGAATTTTTTGCGCTTTGGATCTTAAATCGGGCCGTTATGTCTTCACTGAGTTCACTATTAGCATTTTATGGTCATGTACCATGCATTTAGATAAAAATTCTAGGTAAATTTCTACAGTGAAAATTTCCCGATATACAGTACATCTGTTGCTTTTAAAAGTTTATTAGGTCATCCTTCCATAAGTTTTTCCTGTATCATGTTAAAGTATTTGTTTAAGATAATTTACCATGAAGTTGTGGTAACATTAACCTGAAACCATATTTCTCTGTTGGTAGGGTATAATGTGCAATGGACACATATTCTTGTCTTAAACATTGCTTGTGATCTGACCAGTAGCACTATTAAAATGGTCATCTTGAGTATGTTCCCAACAATATGTCAGTTGATTAAGGTGCATGCAGTTTTAGTGATAGTTCAAGAAAAACAGCTTATCTTTATAAAGAGAAACAAGATTCTAATAAAAATATTCCTGTATACTACTATTATATATATTCATGACTTATTATTCAAATTCAGAAGGTTTTCTTAACTAAAAATATAAGATTTATTGAAGAACATTCGAATATTGCAAATGTTCAGATATTATATGTTTACATATTTTGATGTATAAAGTCGAAGTTATTTAAGTTATACATATCTACTGTGTAAATATTTTGCAGTTGTATTGGTAGTTGGGGTATTTGTAACATATAGAATCAGACGTTATTACAAACTTCGAGCAGGTCAACCTGACAGGGAACCACTTACTAAATCAGGAACACATGTATACACTGGCTTGTGATATTTGGAGAGAACCAGTAATTGTGTATCAACCATACTTGATTTTATGCTTTGAAGAATATATTGTATTTATTAAAATACATACAGATGTCAATCTTTTGAATGATGTTCAACTTGCTGGTTTACTTAGGAATTATTACAGACACACAGGGTATTGTTTTTTGTTTAGGTATATTCTAAAATTTATATATAGAATAAATCTGAAAATTATTAAAAAGGAGACTAATTTGATGGTTTTTTTCTATAGAAAACTTATTAAGGTATCCCACATCCCTAAAATTAAAATATTTCAATTCTGAATAATGGAAGGAGGGATTATTACTTGAATAAAACAAATCCCTAAATGAGACATTATGTTGAAATGACAGGTGATTACTTCTCAGGATTATTTAAATTACTCATATTGATATATAGTTTGTTTGGAATAAGTATCTTGTACAGACTTAGTACTCATTTTTGTATCCTCATAAAGTTTTACTCTTTTAAATGTTTTTCAATATCTTACAATTCTATGAAAGAAGAGTTTGTTCTTTAATTCTATATTGCTAAAGAAATCATGAAAACAATTACATTTTACTAATTTGTTGACACATGAATTTCTTGTTTCCTGAAAAGTTTTTTGTTCGAATATTAAACTAAATTAAACCAAATGTACATTCCAATATATTTAATAATCATGAGAGATATACATATAATGAATAGCAAAAAAAATCATAACCAAATAAATGTGATATTTTAGTGGTATGTTAGATCATTACTTACCAGTAAACAGTATAATTACATGTAGAATGTCATAGTCATTGTTTATTTAAAATTATATATTGAAACAGTGACATGCTACAAAATAACTTTCATTTCAAGATGTTACATGTCTGTGTCGTATACCTGTTTTTGAAATACAATTTATTTTTTGGGGGAGAAATTAATAAAATTATATACGCTTTTTAGTCCCCTACCGACGAAGTCGAAGGGGACTTAAGGTTTGCACTCCGTCTGTCTCTCTATCTGTCCATCCGTCAGTCCAGCAAATCAGTTTTCCGCATTTTTTTTCTTCGTCCTTGAAGATATTGATTTGATATTTGTTATATTGTTTTATCTTGACAAGTTACAGATCAAGTTCAAATTTTGTTCTGGTCTGATGATTTTGTGGAGAGTTATGGTCCTTGGACTTAGAAAATTCACTTAAATAATCAGTTTTCCACACTTTTTTTCGTCATGCTTGAAGATATTGACTTGATATTTGTTATATAGTTTACACCATGACAATTTATAGATCAAGTTAGCATTTTGTTCCAGTACAATGAATTTTTAACCGGTAGGGGACTATGTATTGCCATGCAATACTCTTAGAATGCTTGTTTATTTTACATTCAATTTCATTTTGAGAAATTTTAGAGAGGACTTTATTTATGGTTGTATTAATTTGTAAGGTGGTATAAATCTTAACTGCAAACATGTTGTTGTTTTCCAAATGTGTAGGCGGTATCACAACAACAAATGAATGCAAAAGACAAGTAAAATAGTAATAAAGTGCCAAATTCTATCACTAAATCTACATTAGGCTTTACTTGACGATTCTGCAACAGCAGATACATTTTAGCATTTTCTGAAAAACTAGTTGCTTCAAAGTTATAGTAGCTGCTGTATTAACTTTGAAAAGGAGTAGGCCTGGTAAGACCCCTTTTTGGCCCCAAAATATAGCATTTTTACAATTTGTTTAAAATGTAAACTTTTAGCTATTTATTGGAAAGTAGAATACTTCAGTTACATAAAAAGGGGCTGTTTTTGACAATATTATGCACATGCATCAGATACCAGCATCAGTAATTCATGTAAAATTACTGAAATCTTCACAATTTTACCATTTGTGCTAATTTTTAGACGTTTTTTGTCTAAAATGGAAGTGGCAGCACTTTTGTTCAGTCATATTTGCTAGATTTTTCATATTGAAGGTTGAATTTGAGCATCTTTAATGACCAAATCAGTTCAAATCTTTTTCATAACCTAATTGAATGAAGTAGACACTTAAGTGTTTAAAAAATGTCAAAAATCTTTCATTAGAAGTACTTAAAATTTTAGGCCAAAATTAGTACTTACCAGTCCTCCTTCTTCTTTGATTTTATAGCATTAAACTTCTTGTCTTTTGCAATTGTATTGAACAGTACAAATTATAAATCCACAATCCTTGAAATTATAGGAAATTTGCTATTCATGACAATTTATCCATAATGACTTGCCTTTAACTTGTAGCATATTGATTAGATATATAAAATGTTCAGATTTATTCATTGTTCTGATGTATAAAATGTTCAGATTTATTCATCGTTCTGATATATAAAATGTTCAGATTTACATTCCTATGTTAAATGACTATTTAACCTCAAGTTATTATATACTATTTCAAGAAATGTACTAATTTTTGAAATTTTTTGTAAAATATTAAATCTTATTGTCATATTATTATTTATTAATGTAAATGAGATTATAATGTATATATAAAAGTCTTACGATTTGCACAACGATACTAATATAAGATAGTGATATACGATGAGAATGTTATAAAATCTTATTGACAAATATTTTGACTCAATAAATAGCCATTTTCTGTTTCAAAATTACGGCTCTTTATTCAGCAGAAATATTTGTCAACCCAATTAAATATGCGCAATTCATAAGACTTTATAATTTTGTTCCTTATCTGCGCAGTATTGCCTACTCTAGACAATCTGGTTCATATTACATGTAAATGTGCTGGTTGGTCTTTTTTATAGACATATATATATATATGAGGATGATATAAGATTAATTTGAATGTGGGTACTAAATAAGTTGGGAATCTTTAAGGAATGACAATTAAAATTCTGTATATCTGGATATTTTCTCTGTTTGTCATGGACTTTTCCTGTGGAATTCCATTTAAATGCATTATTCATTGCAATTAAATGTGAATAATGAACATATTTAAGAACTGCCCCTTCTCAGACCCAAACCGCAAACAAAACCTGACCCAAAAATAACACGATATATAGTAAATGAATTTATCTCAATAAGTCAGGCATGTGATGAATCCTTTAAATTAAGGATGATCTCTTTGAAATTTGGCATTTTAAGATAATGCAGCTTGTTAGAGTCCATTTAAGGGGTAAAATGTTGTGGTAAAATTATTTTTTGATTGATGTGCATCTATTTAATGATAAAAATAACATAATGTTTGAAATTATTGCTTTTGTTCATGTACTATGTATATAATATATTTATTTATGCAACAATATTGTAATACATAATTATTTTGATATATTTGTGCAATAATTTATTTTTTCATTGATTTAAATGAATTGATTCTTTTTTTTTTTGTATCCTTTATACTTTTTATAGTGAGAACTATCATTCAATATTGAAAATTTTTAACTCTGCTGAAATTTTTTTTATCCTAAATATTTTCAAAGACAAGTTTTCTTTTGAGGAATCAGATGTGTATCATAAGAAGTGTATGGATACATAGGGTTTAAAAACAAGCAAGAAGGTGAAGTAAATGTTCAAATTAAAATTTTCTTCAATGTTGCTATGAAGGAAAATTTAAATACCTGTTTAAGGCATTTTTGCTAGTAATAAAAATTGTTTAAGGAATGTATATTATAGGTGACCACTGAAACAAAAAACAGAATTTAGATACAAAATTTATACTGATATTTGAGCAAACTTTGGTTTAAGAATTCTCTACCCCAATTTTCTATAAGGTTCAGATATTTTTTTACTCACCTGTGACAAAGTCATGACATAGTGATCCTACATTTTCACATTAAATTATGGAGCCTTATCAAAATTTTTAATCTATTGTCTGCAAAATTATAAAATGTTATATAGCAAAGTCCAACAGTGTTTGATGAGTTGGAGCTATTTAAGTGTTAAGAATCAATAATAAATAGACCAATAGTAAGACTTGTTTAGACTCCACTCTGATTTCATTTGCAAAGAGAAAATATAACTAACAACAATATATATTCTAGCACTATTCTAATATTCTATCATGAGGCCTTCTGTTAAACAAAAGGTTGAGCAAACTTAATACAATACATAACTATTTTGATGCAGAAGTATTTTTAAACATATATCTATGCCATTCAGTTCAGTGAGAAATTTTAACAATACATGTTATATGTGGATATTCCCATTATTGAGGTAGTTAAATGATTAGCATTGAAAAAATCCAAACTTGGGACTTGCTTTTTATTATTTAATGGCTACTTCATTTCATGTGAAAGATGTCTATAGGTTGCACTTTGTAAATACAGCTGTTTCACAAACCATGCTTCTTTTGGGGAGATATTTAGTATTCATAGATATTTTATTTTGTTTACCTTCTAGTTCCCAGATATGATCTCTATGTTTCATCTCATAGAGACACAAAAAATTGGGAATTTTACTGGTATAAATACACATGGATAGCGGTCAAATTGAATTCTGAGGAAGACCCAAAGTGAAGGGAGGGATTTTAGAATAAGTTTAAACTCATAAAAGTTCGCGGCACATAAATGTTGAAAATATGCTGCATAACCCTATGTGTTGACCTTTGAAAAAAATAGCAATGCATATGAACTTTCTATTCTAGGATATAAATTTTTACGAAACTTCATAGTAAAAGTGGCACATTTTTAGCTGTAAACAGAGTTCCTATGGGAAATTGCATTGTCTTTATTTACAGAAGTGCAGCTATAGATGTTTGTTATAAGACAGTTATAGGTTATTGTTTGAAAGTGCAGTATACGTCTATCATTAGAATGTTGAGGTTTAATTTCTTAAATTTTACGCAAAAATAGCGAATACCGTACAAAGTGGAATCAGTAATGTTTGATAAAACTTTTATTTGTAATTGAATTTAAGACTGAAATAACTTCAATTATCTCATAATAAACATTTGAATACATAAGGTACTACATTTTAGTTATAATGGCCACCATATAGCACTTCTTCCATTAGACTAGATGTTACACTATATTCAGACATCTGTTTAATTACTTTTCCTGTAGCAGGTTTAATACCTTAATACCTTTTCTTGCATTACCTTTAAATGCTGTGTCCTCCATCAGGACAAACTCAAACAGAGTTGTTATTACTTGAGTTATAGGATTTAATTCCTCTGTTCGTCTGAATCTATTCATATTATTTTACAGTCTATGATAGATAGGTTTGTATATGATGTGCTTTGAGTTTGAGTAATTTTCCTTGGCCACCATTCTGGAGGTGTAAATGGCCACCATTTTGGAGGTGTAAATGATTGAATTTCTTATTTGACTAAACAAATGGAAACATGTAAAAACAAGTCTGATGAGAGATCTTTATTTGATCTAAGTGATGAATTAAGCAATTCTTAAAGAAATTAAAATTGTTCAGAAAGCTACTTTTTCTGAAGTCTATTGGTCAGTATAACTAGTTTAATTTGGCTGATCAATGATGAAATTAGTGCATGTAGACCTCATGGGAAATAAGTCTGGCTCAAATTGTGTCAGTCAAAAACTATCTATACAACATATAATGTTCCAAGTGTTGAACTAGTCAGAATAATATAGTTCAACCAAAAAAGTAAAAGATGTTCATTGAGGAATATTTCAGCAGTCTTTTCCTCTTTTAATATTGGACAATACACAATTGTCTTCAGATACTTGATATCTAATATGATAATCTATTCAGGTATTTCTATGTAGTACAATTCAAAGTTGTATATTTCTGAACTCTTTTTCATCACACAGTTACAAATGGGAGAGCATTTAAGATTACAATTTACAGGTTACTTGTTACTTGGATAATTATCAAATGTTATAGTTTGATGATAACTCTTCAGAAGGTTTTCAAATTTATGTTGATTATTAGATGGCCCCTATTTAGACAGAATAGTTAACTATTTAGATATGGATCACTAACTCTTGACCTTTCCTGTACAATTCAATAGCTTTCAGCTCACCTGTCCTTTGCCATTTTTTATGACATTACATCAATGGTCCATCATCCATTTGCCAGGTTTTATACTGATTTTCAAATCTCTAATTATACAAATCTTTTCCTCTAAAGCCACAATCAGGGGCGGATTCAGGCGGGGGCGTGCGGGCGTGCGCCCCACTAAAATTTGCAAAGCACGGGTTGTCCTCAGCTTAATAAAGAATATTTCGATAATTTTACCTCAAAAATATTTTCGCCTCGCTCCGCTCTGCCAAAATTTAAGTTTGCGCCCCCCTAACCTAAAATCCTGGATCCGCCCCTGACAATCATCATTCAGTATCTAGCTCCAAAATTATTTTCAATGAAACCAAAATTCACGATGGTCCTATTGTAAATAGAACATTATGAGTAAAAGAGGTATGTATGTGTTAATCATACTCCTATACAACAATAATAAATAGACACGCCTATTATAGTAATCTCAGATGACTCCAAAAGGGTATTTTCTCAGGATTTCAAATTGAAAAAAAAAAAATTAAATGTCAGTTTCTAATTCTCTTTGCCTCTTTTATGTCAGGAACCATCAATATTCAGATTAATAAAGGATTTTAAAAACACATTTTTTGTCTCGCCTGCAAATTTTCGTGGCAGGCTGCAAGACATAGGGATTACTATCCGGTGGCAACGACAGGGTAAACTATTTGTTTAAAGCTTTTTATTTCATAAGGTAGAAGACCTTTATTCTTCATTCCTTGTATGCAGATGCCTTATGTTACAAAATTTTTCCTTGACATCATTTTCAAGGTTCAACTTTTTTTCAGTTTCAATTTTCTTAGAAACCCAGGATCCCAGGTAGTTTATCTGGGTTTCCAAGAAAATTGAAATTGGAAACACTAAACCTTGATCCAGAACTTATGTAAACTAAATGTTCACATAATTTATTAAAGTAGTTTCAGCAACAAGGTCTGTGTAAACCAAAGGACCAATCCCATTATAGTATTAATAGATATGCAAATCATATAAAAATTATACCTAAATGGAAAATGCAGACACACAATTTCAAGAGGAATAAAGAAACCAGTGTTCTCCCCAGGCCGATATGACGCTGCGGTGCCGCAGCGCCTTCATAATATTTTTGTAAATCCCGCAGCGTCTTAATTGGCCGCTGTCCCTTGATACTTGATCCCGCAGCGTGTTAATTTTCACATTTTCATTATAAATGTTGGTTAAAATTGTCAAGTTACTGATCACCGCTGATGGGTCGGTCAGTGTTACGCAATAACTGATAATTAGTTTTACCTGAGCCACGCTTATCTCAGCCTTATCGGACTATGTTATCAGGTAATAGCTTAAATGATCATCAAGAAGATAGATATTTTTTGAAGAAAATTAAAAATTTTAAAAACTTCAGTGCAGAAATTGAAGAAATAGATCGCAAATACATTGTATTTACGCATCGTGTGTGTGATCACTTGACCATTTACATAACGAATTTTTTCATTGGTCTAGAAGAAGAATCTATTTAAACACGACCAATGAACGTGTTGAATACACATGATAAATTTGAATACACATTGCTAAAGATATTTACGATGAAAACTATGAATGACAGTATTAGTAGTTGAAAAAATTAAAATAAAGTTTGATTAAAGATAACGAGGAGTGATTTACTTTAATAGAAAGTGAAAAAATGTTGCTTGCAAGGTAAATTCGTCTGAAACTTGTCATATTTTTAGAAATAAAATGATCATTGAACATCGATCGTGAATCCGTGCGTCGGGAAATATGTGACAATCAACACGGGTACAGAATCGCCGCAGCTTCTGTATAATGTCACTGGTAAATAATTTCAATGGTTTTAACTTTAACGAATTTGTAAAGTTTCGTTTATATCTATCTGCCAAAGATAGGATTAAACAATAATACGCACGGAAGCGTAATGTGAAACTACGGAAACTGGTCAGCTGTTCATTTATAAAAAAAATTTGTTTTAAAAAGTTGTATACCAAATATCTTAACCATATTCGATTTTATTAATTCTGAATGAACATGTTCTCTGCAAATAACAAAGGGGTGAATTATAAGCAAAAGGTAGATGATGGAAGTAGAAGTTTTTTTCCACACCAATGACTTCTAATGAAAAGTGGAATACACCTCCGTCTACACTGTCAGTATAAGCAGATTTCATTGCTTCTCCTAATCCCAACCAAGCTCAAGTTTTAGCAATTGATAAAAGCAAGCACCATGTTTCTGGTTTCAATGACAAGTGGCTGACTGAGTTTTCATGGCTTAGAAATGTTAAAGGGGGGTATAAGCAAAAGTTATTGTGAGTGGGGGTTTAATTTTTAACCCTGAAGAGGATAAAGACAAAGTTGGGGAACAGACTGTCCAACAAAATAACACTATCTTGAAACAATATCCCTAGAAGGAGCAGAGAGTAGAGATGAATATTTATATTTTGACTTCTTTAATTGACTGAATATAAATAACTTTTGTGTTTAAAATCAATTTATTTCATATATATATTCTTGTAATTCATTAATACTCTGCATTATTAAACACATAACACAAAGCATTATAATTCATATTGCATGTCATGATTTATGACTTATTGCTTCAGATCACAAACGTTCACTCTAAAAAAAGAGTTACGCGCCCTTGAATTTTGCGCCTTAAAAAAATCCTGGGGAGAACACTGGAAACAATATGCATACAAACTGAGGCTACTATAACACACATAGTAGTTTCAGATACAAATAAGACTAACAAGTCAGGAAGCTGCAGTTTTAGCTCTTTGCCAAGAGACATCTGTATATACAAGATATTAAATATCCAGATCTTTAGTATGAGATTGCTCACATGTCTGGTGGCCATTTGTAGGACTTGTGGGAGTTAGGAATCCTTGTATACACATGTCTTATGATGTGATGTTTCCATATGTCAGTTGTCCACAATTGCTTAAAAACTAAATAGTTTTAGTCTCACCAGGCCTGAAGAATCATTGATGTCAATTAACTTTTAAAATCTTCAGCTGTAATCTACTTAGGTAATTGGAACAAAACTTGGCAACAATCATCCTAAGGGTATGTCGTTGTGTTTGATCATCCCACCTGACAACTTAGATGGCACCAATGGATAAACATAAACGATTGGGGTAATACAAATAATTGGCTTTACCTTAAAAAAAGAGTGACAGAAAGAGAAATTCTTGCAAATTGTTGAGAATGTTATGATCTACCATCTGTTAGTTTCAACCATTCTAGTAGTTGTCAGACTTACATGGACCTTAAATGAATTTTTAACAATTTTCTTTTAGCTTTTTGGTTTTTATCATGAAAGTTACAAATAAAAGAGAGAAACATTGAATAGTGAAATGATCAGTACGGTAGATATAAAAATATGTCAACATGGCTAAAATTGTCAGTCTACTCCTTTAAGGAAGTTATTGCCTTTAAATGCTGATTTTCACTCTTTTCCGAGCTTTTAAATATAAGAAACAGAACTTAACTTTGAACTATGAGGTGTGGATTTATTCAAACTTATTATATTTCAGGACCTCTATAATTTGTATTCAAGTTATCCATAAATCATTTTTGACTGAGGACCTCCTGAAATATAAGTTGACCTCCATAATTCTAATTTAGGATATCGTGAGTTCTAGTAATTTCATTGCCTCCATAATTCGATTTCAGGATCTCAACAAATAATCTGTCAAAATATCTTTATTTCAGAAGGTCCTTATATTTTTCAGGATTTTCTTTATATTTATGGAGATCCATTATTATATATCTCTGGACCAACACAATTCAATTTCCGGATATCCTTAAATATTTATGAAGGACTGCAATTATTTCAGGACCTCCACAATTCGATTCAAGAAAATCCATAAATTTCAACCTTGACATCACTTTCATGTTTCATGGGTCAATGAGTAGTTTTTAGTGATTGGGTCTGTTTCTTAGATACTATCAGTAATAGGTCAACTATTTTCTGTGTA